CAGAAGGCTTAGGGTAGGCCAGAGCATGTGCAGCACAGCCCCCGCTGTCCCTTGGGCGCTCCCACTCCGGACACACTTGCTCCATCCTCCAGCCTTTAAAAATCCATTTCTTTTTTGGGGGGTGGGGGTGTCACACCTGGCGATGCTCAGGGTTTACTCCTGGCTCTGCACTCAGGAATCACTCCTGGCAGTGCTCAGGGGATCCTATGGGATGCTGGGGATTGAACTCAGGTCAGCCGCCTACAAGGCAGATGCCCTCCCCACTGTACTATCGCTCCAGCCCCTGAAAATCTGTTTTGAATGTGTTTTGTTTTGAGGCCGCACCCAGCAGTGCTCAGGGGGCTTCATGGGGTTCCAGGGATCGAACCCGACTTGCCCGCATGCAAGGCAAGTTCTCTACCGGCCATCTTCTCTTTCTCCGGCCCCTGGGAAAGTGACCAGGGACTCCTGGGCCAGGTTCTTCAGCCCCTCTGGGATCGTTTGGAGGGAAGGCCAGTGTCACAATACCGGAGAGGGGCATCTTCGCCTGACTCCGGGTCTCGTGATGCTACCGAGACCCCAGCCTGTGTCTGAGCTGGGGTCTGGTGAAGGGCCCGGCAGCACCTGGGCCCGACTCCTTCTGGCGTTCTGTCGGACGGCCTGGCCCTCCTCCTTTTCTCCGCAGTAGCGTGACACAGCTGTCACGGGGGACGGCGATGATGCCAGCCGGGGGGGGGGGGGGGGGGGGAGGCACTGGGCCCAGCAGAGCACGAGCGTTATCTGTGTGCCTGGAGAGGGCGGTCGCCAACCAGAACCTGTTGCACCAGGTGCTGGGGAAGCTGAGATGTGTTGCAGGTGTCCCTCCATCCCCAGGTCAGCATAGGCGCTTCCTGCCTGGCCCCCTGCCGGAGGACGCCCTGGACACGCTGTTCTCGGACTCTGCGCCGGGCTTCCCCTCCGCATGGCAGAGGCAGCGCCAGTGTCCTCCGGCGTCTGTAGGGAGTCTGGGGGCGGGGGGGTGGGGGGGAGCAGGGTTTCGAAACAGTCAGCTTCCGTGCCCTTCCGTCAAGTGATGACCAGGCGTTTGGGTGGGGCGAGGAAAAGACAGCTTGTTCCTTAAGTCATCTTTCTGCGTTAAACATCCACCATTCTGGGGTGAAAAGGAATTAAGTAGCATTTTTCTTTGTAAAAGGCATGGAACCTCAAGTCAGCAAACAGACTCAACAATGGCTCTGTAATCCAAGCTGAGCTAGTTAAATGCTACACTGAATCCTCTTAAGAATGGGGACACTTGAGTAAAATGGGGAACTGCCCAGCTCTTCATTCCTCTGCCACTTGCATGAGGCCTCGTTTATTTATCTCTGTAATTCGGGCTGTGTTGCCGCTCCCTGGCAAGGCAGCCTCCTGCCCGCCCCGCCATCACTGGCCCCATCTCCCACCCGCCGCTCCCCCATCCTTATTTTTAGTGAAATAGTAGTTGAAGGACATCTGCTTAGAGGAATCAGAGGAGAAGCACCGTGTTCAAGAGAGAACACGGGCTTGCACGGGGCTTGCACGCGTCTTGGCGGAGACGCAGGCCTGTTTCCAGGGTGGAGGACGAGCCTCCAGTTTTAAATGGTCTGACTCGTCTTGGGCTGGTTCTTGAGCCCCAAAAGCACTTTATAAGTCTTGGGTATTAGCCCGAGCAAATATTTCCTCCCTTTTATTAGGATGTCTCCCTTAGCTCGGGTTTCTGTCTGTGGCCGTGTAAGAGCTTGTTATGTGACGTAGTCCCATTGGCTTGTTTCTGTTCGTTTTCATTGCCAATGGAATCAAATCATTGAAGACCCCCTCCCCCCCGGGTCCATGTTCTAGAGTGTTCTGCCAGTCTTTTCCCTGGTCGGATGGGTTCTGGTCCTATCTTGAGGTCTTTAATTCGCTTTTAGTGGTGTATATGCTGTGGGATATACACAGTGAAAACAGGTAATGTACACGGATTCAGTTTCTCCTTTCGCATGTGGCCGCCCGGCTTTCCCAAGGCCTCTGGCTGAGAGGCCAGCCTTGCTCCGCGTCTCTGCCCAGCTCCTCTATCCGGGGTCCCGCCTCTGTGCTGGGTGGTGCATCCCTGGGCTCACAGTTCCTCCTTCACCATAGTCCCAAACCATTGGATTCCTGCAGCCCTGCCATGTGATTGGGAACGGGGCAGGGCTGGGGCTTTTGGGGGAGTTCTGGAACCATCACTGGAACTCATGGAAATCACCTTGAGTCTTTATACTGCTTTGAGGCGGGCGGTCATTCCGACTGTTTCGTCCTCCCGATCATGAGCGTGAACAGTTTGTCCATCACCCGGTGTCCTCTTCTGTGTTCAGAAGGGACCTACCAGTGTTGGGATACAATATTGGGTCTCACTTCCTTTGTTCAGGCGCGCTCTAGATGGCTGTTTTAGGACACTTTGAAGGGGGGAGTTGTCTGTTTTGGATTATATTGTCAGAAAAATCTTTTTTTTCTCCCACTTTATTTAAACCCTGTGGTCTGCAAAGTTGTTCATGACTTGTTGCAGGTGTTCAGTATCCCAACCCCAATCTCAGCACCGCCGTCACCTTCTCCCACCATCCTCTTCATTTTCCCAACCACCCCTCAAGCCTGCCCCCCGTAGCAGACCCACAATCATTTATTTTATATTGCTTGTTACCACTAAATGACTAATAAAATATAAAAAAAAATACAAGAAAGTTTGTCAGAATTGGTTGTATCTCAGCGTGGGGCCCGTCTCAGGGCTTGCTGCGTTGTCGTTGCTAGTTGAGCCTCCTGTGTTGGTGCTTTTGTTAGCCGAGCTTAGTCGGTGTCAGCACAACACTCCTGTCCAGTGTGATGTTCTCCTCCTGGGATGTCAGTGTGGTGGAGTTCGGAGATGTCCCGGCCGCACGCTCCAGAAAATCCGGAGTATTTTACTGGGCCCTGATGAGCTCACATGGTGGCAGTGATGGGGCATGGGTGTGGCTGCTGGGGTTTGGGAAGTCCAGGGGGGTGGGGGGCTGTCGCCCACCCCGACAGGAAGACCCGGAGCTTTCTGGCTAAGCAGTCTTCCAGGTACATAATGCCTTCGTGGCCTCCCCACGACTGTTCTGGACAATTGAATGATTGTTGGGAGCACTAAGGTCAGAATCCTGTTTTTTTTTTTTTTTCGTTTGTTTTTAAATGCTCTTTGGGTCACACCCGGCAATGCTCAGGGGTCACTCCTGGCTCTGCACTCAGGAATCACCCCTGGCGGTGCTCAGGGGATTACATGAGATGCTGGGAATCGATCCTGGGTTGGCCACGTGCAAGGCAAACCCCTACCTGCTGTGCTGTCGCTCCAGCTCCCCCAGAATGCTGGTCTTAAGCTTCTTTCCTCCGACCCCACCCCCCAGAGCAGCCTGCCGGCCAGGTGCGGTCCAGGGTGTGGAGCAGGTGCCCGCTGTAGCTCCTCTGACCCTCACCTCTCTAGGTGAAGCTCTCAAAAGGCAGGGTCAGAGGGCGTGGCTCGGCTGTAGAGCCGCTGCCTTGTGTGTAAAGCTCTGGGTTTGATTCCCAGCAGCCCAGGGCCTGGCCAGGCTGCGGGCATTTGGGTGGTTAACTAGGCCCGGGGCCTCCGCCTGGACAAATTCCAGGGAAGCCTGAAGGTCCTGGGAGAGGGCAGGGCCTGGCTCCGCCACCTCCTGGGCTGGTCAGTCTCCCGGCTGGACACGGCCTGCCCCCGCCACGGCGGAGACTGGGAGGGGTCCGCCTCCAGCCTGCTTGGCCTCTCTGCAGACTTGGGCAGCTCCGGGGCCCGGGCTGGAGCAGCCGGGCTGGGAACTCCAGGCCACAGACTGGGAGGTCCCTGTGTTCCTCAGTCAGGCCCCCCGCTGAGGGCCACTAACAGGAAGGTCAGGCTGAAAAGGCGTCTCCTCACGAACAGCCCAGCGCTTTGATTCCTTTCCCAAAAAGTGTCATTTAAGGGGTGGTGGGGTGGGGTGGGGTGGGGTGGGGCTGGAGCAATAGCACAGCAGGTAGGGCGTTTGCCTTGCACATGGCCAACCCGGGTTCAATTCCCAGCATCCCATATGGTCCCCCAAGCACCGCCAGGAGTAATCCCTGTGCATCACCAGGTGTGACCCAAAAAGCAAAAAGGGGAGGCAGCCGGTCTCTGCCCACAGCCCATTAGATGAGTGGAGAATGACATCTCGGCCAGGGGCCTCAGTTTGGGGTATAGGAAGGCTGATCACAGTCCCCTCTGCTGCCCAGGTGTTGGCAGTGGCAGGTCTCTCCCAGAGGACACAGGGGACAGGGAAGCAGAGGTCATCAGTCCTCCGGCCACTGCGTCCCATTAGAGATTCAGTCCTTTCCATGCCAGCAACCTCAGAAACCCTGCAGGGCTGGCGAGGGAGGATAGTCCGCTTCGGTCAGCATGACTTCCCGCGAGGCCTTCCCAGCAGATGGGTGTGCTGATGCCTCCTGGTCCCAGGGCGAGGACCGGGCGGCCCCAGAGCTCTGAGCACTGTGGTAACCCGCTGTTGTTCCTGCTCACATGGGTTTTGTTGTGGTTTGGTTTGGTTTGGTTTGGGGGCCACACCTGGCTGTCATGCTCAGGGACCACTCCTGGACAGGGCTCAGGACTGTCTGGGATGCCGGGGCTCAAACCCGCTCCAGCCCCCCTGCTGTGTCCCAGGTTGACATGTCCGCCCCCTGGGAGGCCACAGCAGAAGTCACGGAGCAGAAAGGGGTAGACTTGCACCTAGCCTACCAAGGAGGCTGGCACGCTGGTGTGGAAGGAAGGATGCGTTCGTGCACCGAGCAGAAGAAGGTGGCCTTAGTTGATCGAGTCCCTCCCCGGCTGCCTGCTCTGGGCGAGGTGAGGGAGTCCCGGTACTCGGCCACGGAAGGTGCTCAAGTTTGGCCACTTAAGGTTTGTATGACAGGGAGGCCCCAGGCTGGGGGGCCTCCCCCCATCGCGGGAGAGACGCCTGCCTGGGTTGGTGGCCACGCCGTGTCTCCAGCACTGACTCTGTTCTCTCTTGCAGGGGCTCCACGGGCCTTACCCCTTCGGCCAGTCTTAAACCAGTGTCAGCAAGAAGGAAACTTAACACGAGACAGAAGGCCTGACTGCGGGGGGTGGGGGTGGGGAGGAGGGCGCGGGGCTCCTCTGGACCGCAGAAACCACGCACGCCACGGACCCCGGGCTCCGAGCCCCTCACCCCCTCCGCCAGAAGAAGAGGAAGAAGAACAGACTAGTTTTGAGTAAACGCAGTGTGCATGTGTGAGTGCCGAGCGCAGGGAATGGTGCGAGGCGCCCGGGCTCGCCCGCCGGGCCCCTTGGGAGGAGAGTGGGTGCTGGGGACAGGGGGAAGTAAGCCATCTTTCTGGACACAAGCCGTTCCGCCCACCCACCGACCGCTGGTCGCTCTGGGCACGGGTTCGTTCCTCTGCCCAGCCCCTGGCCCACTGTTGTTCTGCTGGCCGCGGGGTCACAGACGCCTCGGAGGCTCGGGCGGGCGGGCGGGCGGACGCTGCGTGCCACGTGACTCGCGATGCCTGTGACCCCATTTGTTTTTCATGGCATCGGCCAATGAGTTATCGCCCCTGGCTTCCTCTTTCCCCTCTAATCTCCTGTTGATTTACACCCTTGACATTTGTATTCGTCAGCCCTGTGGCTCGTTCCCCTCCGCACCTCTCCGAAGACCAAACTTCCCTGTGAGGACAGGGGCTGGGGTGACGCAGGGCCCCTGGGTGCTGGGCGTGCGCGGGGGGGGCCCTGCTTCTCGTCCCCGCTTCCGCCCGCTGTGCTTTGTGGTGTTTCCACGGCCTGTTCTGGAAGTTGAACCGTGGAAGGGATGAAAATACAGCCCCGGGGGGGCGGGGGTTGGCCAAGGCCGCCGACTCCTGATCTTGGAGACCACATAGAGATGGACCCCCACCCTGAACGGATGCCATCGGGGCAGGGGTCACCGCCCCCCCCCCCCCCCCCATGCCCTGTGGGCCCTGCACGGGTGTAGGAGCCATGGCTCCCTGCGGGAAGCTTGAACCGGGCCGGAACAGCTGTCTGCCAAAGATACAAGAATATGCAAAGTCCCCTCCCCTCCCCTCCTCCTCCCCCTGAGTCTCGGTTGGTTCGATGGCTGGGGACGAGGGTCTCGGGCAGCCTCCTCTGGCGCCCCCGGCCCTCGGGGCTGAGTGGAGCGGAGCCCAGTGCGCGTGGCGGCTGCACGGAGTCACACAGCCTGGTTGTGGGGAGGGGCCTGCCTGCCTGTCTCGGGTGTTTGAGTTCCAAAAATGTGTGTTGTTTGTTCCTCCTCATCCTCTTCTGAGATTGTTTTATAAAAAGTTTGATTGATTGTGGGAGAATAGCTTGTATGAAATACCCCCCCCCACCACCACCCAATTTGCCGCCCCACCCCCACCCCCCACCCAACACGTCCCCAGAATAAAAGGCGGAATCACACTCGGGCCCACGGAGCAGCCCCTGGAGAACGTGTGGCCGCCCCAGCAGGGGCCTGCAGCGGCCTGTGTCTGAGGCCCAGTGTGGCCCACACTGCCACTGTCATTGGTGCCAGCCTCTGGGGCATGGCCGCCCTGCTGGGAGTTCGCCTGGGGCGGGGGGGCTGAGCCTGGACAGCCCCGCCCCCACCCACCACGGGCAGGAACCTGCCCCGAGCACTGCCGGCTCCCCCTCTTCTGCTCACATCCTAGGAGGGGAGCGAGAGGGGCCCAGGGCTGGGCGGCGGGAGGGGTCCTGCTGTCCACTGCCCCACCCGCGCCCCCCTGCTCTGGGACTCTGCAGGCCCACTGTGGAGGGGCCGTGTGTGTGTGCAGTATGTGTGCACGCGTGCATGCCTTTTTTTCTTTCTGCCGTGGGAATGGTTGAATTGGGGACATTTTGCTCTAAGAGCCTTTTCTCTGCAGCAAGGACTGGCCACCCACGAAAGCCCGCTGGAGGCCCCCCTCGCTGGGGAGCAGCTCCCCATGGCTCTTCTGGCCGGAGGGTAGTCAACACCCCCTCCAACCCTCCCCCCATTCAGCCCCTGCCCCCGCAGGAGCAGGTGATGGTTCCCCCGCCCCCGCCCCGTCCCCTGGGTGAGTGCTGAGAAGCAGTGCTGTTCTCCGCTGGGCAGTGGGTGTGTGTGCTGGGGCCTCACAGTGCCTGGGAAGGGATGAAGATGAGGTGTTTCCTTACTGTATAAATGAATATTTGTATGATTAAATTAACACACACAAAACCTGTTCGCAGTGTGCCACTGAGTCTGACTGTGCGCGCGCCCCCACCCCTCACTGCGAGGGGCCCCCGGCCCAGGTGTGGCTTGGGTTCTTGGGCTCTCCTGGAGTGTAGTCGTGTGGCCGAGACATGGGTGGCAGACGATGCGGAGCTGCTCCCGGGGGCTGTGCAGCCAACAGGCACTCAGAACAAGGGGAGCTCAGTGTCCCCTTTGTCTTTCCACGATGTGCAAGACTGAGATGCTGGGCCCAACCCTCTCCCGCCCCGAGTCCACACGGGACCCTGGCCACCGAGCTCCAGAAGGGGGTCTGCGTTCTCCTGTGTGCGGGTGTGGTCTCCGCATGCTCTCCGCACTCCCAGCAGATTCTGGGCATCCTTGTGAGGACTGCAGCACGCACGCTCAGAAAACAGGCCAGATGCGGCCTCCGTGACAGGCCTCTGGTCGTGGGCAGCTCGCAGGGAAGGAGCGACCCCAACAGCATCTACAACAGCTCGAGTCTGACTCTGCCCCGGGCCTTACCCTGACCTCGCTGCACCCCCAGTTTCTGAAGGACGGGGACCCTACACGGCTGCTGGGACGTAGAGCTTGCCCGGGGGCCCTGGCCGAGTGCCCAGAGCCAGCACCCGCTGCCCTTCAGGCTGTTTGCTCTCTGCAGCAGGGGCCCCACTGCCCACCCGCACCTCCACCGCCGGACAGTTATTTGCTTGGCAGAATCTGTTTGTCTTTGGGGCTGTGACCCGTCAGGAAGTCACCGGCCCTGGGAGAAGGGAGTAGCTTCCACGAAAGCCCCGGACCAGGCCATTCCCACGGGGGCTAGGTGACAGGGAGGGGGCTCTAGGCGGAGCTTTTGTCTGGGGGCAGGGGCGGTTGAAGTCGCCTGGGCCAGGCCCTCCCGAGAGCAAACAGGTGCTCTGAGCCACCCGCCTATCCCAGCACCCCGTGCCCAGTGCCACCCACCCAGTTCCCAGGGCCTCTCCCTCACCCGGGTGCTGTGACCCGGCCACTTTCCCAGACACCACCTGCTGTCCAGCCCTGAGTGGCGGCCGGAGCACATGCCCCCAGCAGCGCTCGGGACAGCCCCGCACTTGAACTGGGGTGAGTGGAGCAGGACACGGGACGGCCACCGGGCGCTGCCCCCGTCACCCCGCCAGACGCCAGACGTCCATGCCCCATGACCCTTAGTGCAGCGACGCTCTCGCCAATGAAGCTCAGTTCATGGTGCCACTCGGGCTGGGCGTGTGAGGTGCACGCTTGCATTAGCCGCCCTGGCGGGGAGGGTGGGGATTGGCGGTGGGGGGGTGTTTCCCCTGAGTGGGGCCTCCTGAGCAGTATCCAAATGCTGGGGTCCACTCGCAGCAGTACGTGGCCAGCCAGATGGGCCAGTGCCCAGGGTGCAGGAGCAGGTGGGGAGGCTGCAACGTTGGGGACAGGATGTGGACGTGCGCTCAGCCATGGGCCTTCTCGGTGTCCTCAGCCAGCGCCTGGACAATGCACAGTTGGGGCTGGCCTGAGGGTCTCCCCTCCCCACAGTTGGGGTTGGCCTGAGGGTCTCCCCAACCCCCTGAAGGCACCAGCTCTGTTGGGACTATGGCCCCGGCCTTCCCCAGGCTGTCCGCCTGCGGTTTCTGGCTTCAGTGTTTTAGATCTGCCTATGTCACCATCAACCAGTGTCCGCTGCAGTTAGCATCGTCTCAGCTGGCCAGCCCTGGCCAGCCCATTAGACTCTCCATGTGAGTGACCTCATGAAATCCTCACGGTGACGGGACAGCTGGTGTCACCACCCCGGGGTGCCCGGGGAGCACACACAATAAAACTCCTGGAGGTTCTGAAGGCTTCTCTGAGGACTGGACCCTAGTGGACTCGAGGCCCTGAGAGGCAACCAGGCCTTGTGTGAGGAACACCTCTTCTAGATGATGCTGATGGGCCAGACTGGCCTCTCTGGATCGCTGAGCCATGTCCAGTTTCTGCACCAGGCACTGTCCCCCTGCCGGAGACACAGTGGTCACCACAAGACCAAAACGCTGGCACGGGGCGGAGTCAACAGACTGGCCATGCATCATCCCGACATGAGGAGCCCCAGTGGTGGCGGCATAGTGGGTGTCCGTCTTACACCAAGGTGCCATCCGGTGGGCAGGCATCACAGGCCCCAGACCACCACAGTGAAGGAAAGGGTGGGAGGAGGGTTTGTGAAGGAGAGGGGTTCGTGGGTTCATGCTTGTTGGCCAAGAAGCCTTGGGGCGCACCAAGAACAATGGGAGGATATGGGGAGAAAGCGTTCCAGGATGGTCTCCAGGTGTCCAAGCAGTGTGGAGGGCGTTTGCTAACTGAGTTCAATCCCCTGCATCCCATATGGTGCCTGAGCATCACTGGGCGTGACCCAGAATAAAATCCCAGAGAGTCTGTGCAAAGGCCCAGAGGTGGGCATGTGCGGAAATAGTGATGGAGAGGTGAAGCCATGGGGGGGTGGGGCTTGGGTCATGGGAGGCCAAGAAGTGACTGAAATGGCTTTGATATGGAGCCCGGGGAGGGGGCTCTGAGGTCTGGGAGGGACAGTCTAGAGGACACCCCTGAATTGTAGGGCCACCTGCAGAAAGATGCACTCACGTCTGCTGGAGGGTGTGTGGAGGTGGCCAAGAACTGCCCAATCCGGGGCCGTAGTCATAGTACAGTGGGGAGGATGTTTGCCTTGCACGTGGCCAACCCAGGTTCAGTCCCCAGTATCACATATGGTGGTCTGAGCACCGCCAGGAGTAATTCCTGAGCATTGCCGGGTGTGACCCAAAAAGACAAAAAAGTGGCCCAATCCTCAGAGCATCCCAGAACTTGAGCAACTTGACATGAGTTCTGTGGTCGGGGAGAGCATCCCGGGTACTCTTGCTTAGGTACTCTGAGCAGCGGGTCCTTCTGACAGGTAAGACTTCGAGCAGCAGGGGTCTTGGGGTGGGGGTGGGGGAAGCAGGGGTCCCCTTTGAACCAGCTGTGTGGGAGATAAGATGCCTGCTCAGCGTCCAGATGCGACTTCAGGCTGGCAGGGTCATGGCCAAGTCAAGCTAGAAGCAGGAGACAGCTTGGAGGGCTGGTGGCCATAAAGTGGGATTCAGAGCCTCGCATCAAGATGAATGGACCAGAGTCCAGTGGGTAGGGCACTTGCCTTGCACTCAGCAGAGCAGGGTTCGATCCCCGGTACCCCATCTGGTCCCCTGAGCACCCCAGGAGTGATCCTTGAGTGCCAAGCCAGGAGTAACCCCTGAGCACCACTACATGTAGCCTAACTGCCCCACCCTCCCCCCCCCAAAAAAGGGGAGAGAGGTGCAGGGTGCCAAACCCAGGGGGGCCAGGCCCAAACTAGGTTTGTTGTTCTCCAGAAAGTGGCCTGGGGTCAGCCTGAGATCCAGAAAAGTACCTTGAAGAGTCTAGAATCATGCATCCCAGAGTGGGTGGCACCAGCCCCGGGGACCTGTCCAGGGGGCAGCAGTAGCCAGTGGTGCCCTTGAGGGGCCTTTCCTTTCTTTGTTCAAAGAAGGCAGATTTCTAGGAGGGCCAACAAGTACGTTTTTCCTGTGAAGGGGATAAATAAGTTTAGGACCCTACAGAGAATCCTAATTTCCTATTTAAAATAAAAATTCTGGGGCTGGAGTGATAGCACAGCAGGTAGGGTGTTTGCCTTACACGCGGCTGACCCGGGTTTGATTCCCAGAAAACCATGGTCCCCCAAGCACCACCAGGAGTAATTCCTGAGTGCAGAGCTA